ACGATGTACGTTGAGTATAGATTTAACGACCGAAATGTGGATAGAGAAAACATTTTTGACATTGCATCACAGTATGACATTCAGATTAGTAATAAATAATTTAGAAAATTAGAAGAGCATTATTTAACATTTAAGAGTGAGAGAAATATGTTGCAATTTGATCTTTTTATAAAGAAGAAAGTCACTATATATTAAACCAAGCAACCAACCAATTTTTTTTTAAAAAAAAACAATAATTCATTATGATAAATAAATCAACTAGATTTCTTTATGTGTATAAATATTATAATTACCTGGTTTATTTACTTCAATCATATTTGAATCAGATGTTGAAGATGGCTTTGTTGTTATCTGTAAATTTAATAAAATCAAAATATTATTTGACTGCACCTATTAACATATATTAATATGTCATAACTATTAACACATAACATACTTTAGGAGAAAAAAATTCATTAGACGTATAAATTACTGTTTTTGTGGGTGTATTCCTTTGACGTGAATCATTTTTATTTTGCTCCAAAATTGACAGTAAATATGGTGATGCCATAGTAAAGCGTTGCCGTCGAATGTCTGATCTCGCCAATTTCAAAATACCTTAGTTGTAGTCTGTGATTCGCTCTTCGTATGAACCCGTTTCTATGTTTGAAAACAATTTTTTAATATATTTAAACTTCTTCCAATTAAATATTGTAATGTTTAACTTGAATGGCTGATGTTGTCAACAATTAATACATAAATTAATTCACAATTAATAATAACATATCGTTTGGACAGAAAAAAAGCCTTATGATGCTGAAATTATTGGAACTGAGCACGTATTATGGGTGGACAGTGTTTCGTTAGTTGTATTCGAATTGGAACGGTCGAGCGGACGAATAAAAAAATCCACGACAAGGAGATTTGATGAAAAGAAAATATTGAGAATAAAATCAGGTCCGGTACACCCGACTTAAAACTCTGGGCAAGCCTATGCCTGGAAACGAAGCGTTCGTAGTTGACGGTCACGACCGTTGGCGTCCCGAAGACGGGCGAGCCATACGAACACGGATGAGGTGAACGCGTTTCGGGCATCGCGGGTTTCGAACGCTGTCAAAAACGGTATCCGACAAACGTCGGTAAACTACGTTGTTGTTACGCTGATAGTATAACTCACGTACGCTTTATCTCAACGTGAAACGTTTACAGTACATGCAACATGTGTTACCGTGCGTGTGGCTAACCTGTGGCGTTCGGACGCGGGTTGCACGGCCAGATCGTGCGCGTGCCGCAAACCGGTCCGCGTTGACCTCGTTACGGTAATGGCCACTGCCATCCCGCCGCCCGGCCGTGTACCCTTCGTCGAACCCATCGACCGCGTTGGGGGATGCGCATCAGGGAACCGCAATCGTGGATCGGGGGCAGGGGAGACAATGAAACGGATGTGCGAAGGTCGTCCGCGGCGGCGGTGGTGTTGGCGTCATTCAAGTTGTCGACCAACAGGGCACCGATGTTGCGCAGGACAAGGATGATTCGCTGCTCCTGCACACCATTACCGGTTCGCGAAGGCGTAAAAAACGAGTGCCGGAGCGCTGGGACGATAAGATAAATAATAAGAAAATGAAAATAAACGAAAAAGATTTGCTAAGCGTGTAGGCGGAGTACTTACCAAGGTGGACGGAGTAACGGCGCGTCTGATGCATTTAGACGTTGACTGCTGCCGATCGACTGTCGAACGCGGACGAACGGTTTCACACGTATTGGGTAAACCGTTAATGCGCAGTAAACGGACGGGATTAGTGGACCGATGGTGGGATCGTGTGTCATTGGCGCCCCGTCGTGCCAAACTGGTCATCCTGTTGACGCATTACTGTGTTTTCACGTGAATTCCACGTCCCGATGTCTCTTTGGGTTCTACGCGCGAACGAAACTAGAACAACGATGAGACGGGAAAAAAATTTAATGCGCACCGGAAACGACGCACATGTGAACATCGATATATCGTTTTGGAGGGAAAAAAAAAAACTCGAAAACCGAACGATTATATATCGATCACGGGCGACATTTTTTAGATGCGCATTACAATGCCATTTAGGTACTACACTGCGACGAGGCTTCACTGGTCGTATGCCATTTCTCCTTCCTTATGTTTTGGTACGCAATTATAAAATAACACGTACAAAAACGCGTACGGAACAAAATCGATCAATTATTGTTCAATTAAAATAACAAAATGATTTTAATTTTATTTTTCCTCTATACATATTTTTTTATTTTTCAATTGTTATCGTCGGGCCCCAATATAGGTCCAATATGGACTCGTGTAGTTGACATACGTAACACACCTGGTCATTGCGGCACTCCGTGCACCTATCTTAGATAACTGTGCAGATCACTTTTTCAATCGGGAACGCAAAAATAATTTCTGCGAAATTATTACTGGTGACATTTACGAGTAGATGTAATTGCGTACATGTAGTGTCGTGATATCTTCAACGGCGCAGAATTCGAGGAGTTTATTTTAATGCAGTGGTCGACAACTCTTTTGGACTCTTGGGCCACGTTCACGAATTAAAAAAGGATTCGCGGGCCTGACAATTAAAACAATTATTTGGTATTCAATTAAATGTCCTTGTTTTAGAATTTCACTTGCGGGTCGGATTCAACCATAGGACCGCCGGTTGCCGATTACAGCTTTTATGGTTAAACCCTAACTAAAAAATTAACCCATTACATATACATACACACACACATACCTGTGGCGCAGTTTGATTACGTATCAGCGTATTTGTGTACTATATTTAACAGAAAATAATTAAGCAATAGACACTAGCTGGGTAATATTTGTGTATGTGCTAAATAGTTAATAGTCAAATTATGTATGTACACATTATATTATACACTGAACTATACTCAGTATAAACTATAATTTACCATCGCCACTTATGGGCACTACCACTCACCCGTATTTGGGACAGTAACACATAGACATAGGGTTAGGCACGCACTCACGCACAAACAAACACACATACACATACACACACACACACGTATATATACATATATCTATATACGACCAAAAACTCAAACAGGGTGTTCAATGTGAGTGTTGATAAAAATGTCCATGTACAAAAATGTCCAAATACAGAAATGTTAAAATACTGAAATATAATTTACAACAAAAAAAGGAAAATAAGCTTTCTTTAATTTGTCCATTAAATTTTATAAAAACAAGGGTTTATAAAAATTAAATTATTTATTATACCATAATTATTTTAATTTCATTGTGTTTACATGACAAGCGTATAGTACTTATTGTATATATTTTTTTCCGAACATTATTATAGTATCTATGTACAAAACCTCCCATCAAGTATTAACTGTATGTCCATATTACTTGAATACATATGTGGTATACATAAAAACAATTCTATAATCAATGGTTGAACGTATGTACCATGTCGTGTTTAGTGTGTAAAATACATAGAATTAGATTGGATAGTAGTGGTCGGCGGAGCTGTAGTTCGATCGCCGCTCGCGGTGACAGGCCGTTTAACAAAAATGTCTCTTTTTAAGATTTCTAATAATTAAAAAACTAAACGTCATATTGAAATTCTAATACTTGCATTGTCATAAACACATAAAATCACAGAGTTATACGCAAATTAAATTTTAAAAATAAAATGTTTAGATTGGTAAATCGTTGTATGAAGCGAGGAACTTTTATACGTATAAAATAAGCAATTACGATGAATGGGGCCCAGTGAAGTCATACGACTATTCTACATTTTTTAATATCTCTAAGAATGATCATTTTTTTTTTTTAATTAGATTTTCACCAAATCATTTCATATAGCCGTAGCAACAATAACTTAATATTTCAAAGCATATAAATTTAAATTTAAATTTCTAAGTATAAATATATAAAATAAAATAAAATAAATAGCTTGAAATTTAAAATTTTCTTTCAAAATGTTCCCATTAAATTATATATCTATCTATAAAGCATAAATAAACATTAGAAAAAACGCTTAGAACCCAGTTTATATTATATATAAAATTGGCCGCGACGAACGAATTTGTGATGTTACGT